TGTGTGTGTGTGTGTGTGTGTGTGTGTGTGTGTATGTGTGTGTGTGCTTGTTATAATGTCACACACACACTTATACTGTATTAAAAAGAGGAAAATATCTAATGGTGTCTCCCTGCTGTGAAAGCCTCAAATCAACACACACAGAACCACATGTGGGTGCACATACACACACACACCACACACACACACACACACACACACACACACACACACACACACACACACACACACTCACACACACTCACACTCCGTCGTTCATCAGGCAGGAGTCCTGTGCTGTCGTCATGGAAACTCGGATCCCCCCACTCTCCCCTCCTCTCTTATCCTTCATGACTCTCTGCAATCTGTTAATTTGAATCTGAGTACTCATGACGCAATCTCATAGATGGCTGCTGGAGGAGGAGGAGGAGGAGGAGGAGGAGGAGGAGGAAGGGCGAGCACAGAAAGGAGCAAACAGGTTGGAGGACACGTGGAGGTCTGGAGCTGAGCAGGTCCATGACCTTCTCCCTGGATCTCTGTCAGCAACCCTCTGTCACTGGGTGCTGCAGAGGGGGGCCACCGTGTTGTCTCAGATCTGCATCATCGCTCCCCGCCGCACAGTTGCATCAATAATGCACTTGTACACACACACACACACACACACACACACACACACACACACACACTGCAAAGGAAACTTACACAACTCATTTACTTTTTAATTGAACTGAGATAATTTGTTTTCCTTAGGGGAGAGATCTTAGAATGAATTGATTAACACAGACACACACTTTTTTAAGCCTCAAGATAAAAACTTTAACATGAGTTTGAATGAGTTTGACCAGCGGTTCCCAAAGTTTGAGTTGGGACCTTAATTGGTCATGAAACTTGATTTCATTGAAACAGTTATAAGGAATAAAAGAAGTATTCATAAATAAGTAAAAAGTGTAGTTGTTAAAACTGCTTCTGTTAATGCTCCTTTAATAGGATTATCAGCAAAGATACAGTACATAAAACCAGCCATTAATGCAGTCACAAGCCTTGGTCAAAATACCAAAGAATCTGCAAAATTCATAYAATTCTACAACATGGTTATTGAGAAGTTTGTGAAAAAGGTTTATGGCTTTTTTTAGTACCCTGGGTACTAACCAAGGAGCTGTCACCCCTGACCCCCAGACTCCCTCCATGGCAGAGTTATATTCCTGAGTCTAGAGTTTCTGTTTCAGCAACGTGCTGTGGTGTACATTTTTTTATTTCCTCTAGCTATTTGGGGTTAGTAGAAGTAGTTCATTAAAAAAAACATTCAAATATAATTTACAAACCTGTCTCTCTGAATAACAACAGGTCTCTTGTGTGCGTCGCACACCATTCAGGGAGTTTGTTCGCCACTCTTTTGCTCTACTATTTACAACAGTGGTTCCCAAAGTTGGGGTCGGGACCCACAGTGCGGTCCCGAAACATCAAGGTGGGGTCCTGAAAGATTTTCTGAATTAATTACACTAAAAAATGACAACTAAYAACAATTTTTTGCCTTTGTTGTTACAAAAAAGTACTAAAATGAACAAAAAGAGAGTAATAAAAATTGTTACTATGCTCTTGTTTATTTGACGTGAAAACAATGTTTATCAACCGACAACAGCTGGGGGCACAGGTCTCTGCTGCTGGTATTTTGTGGGTCAAAAGCGGAAAAGTTTGGGAACCACTGATATACAACATTTTTTTTAAAGGTTTAAGCTTTGTTTATTTTATTTCAATCATGAATTGAAATATGAATACGAAACAAAAAAGTCATCTAATAATAAAAAAATCCAATAATAATAAAAAAGATCTAATAAAACAATAGGAAAGAAAATAGGAAAAAAAACAAGTCATCCAATAAAAAATGAATAATAATAAAAAAGATCTAATAAAACAATAGGAAAGAAAATAGGAAAAAAAACAAGTCATCCAATAAAAAATGAATAATAATAAAAAAGATCTAATAAAACAATAGGAAAGAAAATAGGAAAAAAAACAAGTCATCCAATAAAAAATGAATAATAATAAAAAAGATCTAATAAAACAATAGGAAAGAAAATAGGAAAAAA